AATCTGTGCACTGGTTCATAGGTCAGCGCTCAACCACTGAACCACACCAGCCAGGCATCACTTTTTCTTTTTTCAATCTCTCAGTACCAACTCCTTAGAACATCTGTGAAGATGTTTTGGTTCTCTGTGTATTGAATTCTCAGAGAATCAATACAGTTCTAACAGCCCTGCCTGGTGCTGCCCAATGGTTAGAGCGCCCAAGGGTCAGGGATTTGATTCCTGGTCAAGGGCATGTCCCGAGGCTGCAGGTTCAATCCCCAGCCCTGGTTGGGGCAAGTGTGGGAGACAAGGAATCATGTGTGTGTGTGTCTCTCTGCCTTCCCCCTACCCTTTCCACTCTCTCTAGAAACCAATAGAAAAAGTATCCTCGAGTGAGGATTAACAAAAATTATATATACATTTCTAACGGGGGTAGCAGGTGCAAGAGACAAAGCGCCCTGCTTACTGCTATGCGGCCCTGACACTTCGTCTAGCCACAGGTTCCCCAGGCTTTTCACACACGCAACCGCTCAGGGAGTTGGAGAAATCTGCCCTCGTGGCGAGGGAAGTGGGAATCACGTGCATAAGATGGCCCACAGTGCGGCAGTTGGTGGCCAGAAGCCTGTGAGCACACCGTGAGCGGCAGGCGTGGCCACAATCACTGATCCAGGCCCTTTCAGGGAGTCAAGGCTGCAGAGCTGGACGGGAGCACTTACGGCCACGCCGTCCTGCTCTCATGAGGACTCTCAGGTGCAGGAGCATGGCGGCCAAGGGCACTGCTAGCCGGAGGCAGCGTGCGGTCTAGACCCGCCATCCTGTGTGTGTGTGTGAGGCTTCCTTCCTGTGCTGTTGCAATGCTCACGCTTAAATCTTACGCCCTTAGCAGTGCTGCAGCCGCCCAGCTCAATCACGGGCTCACTCACTCATCACAGACTGACCACGCACCCCCCGTGTCACACCCCGGGTGTGAGCAAACCTGCGCTCACAGACATTCCATTGCAACATGGGGCAGGGCCTGAAAGGCTAAGAACATTGAATGAGCCCTTCCCATCTCATCGGGGACAAACACCAAAGACACTCCAAAGGCTTGCAAATCCCGACTTCATCCGGACACGACCCCAAGCCCCCTGCTCCCTCCCAGTCCGCCTGCTCTGACTCCCCTCACGGCAGCCCCGCTCCAGCCTCACAGCATCGCTCAATCCTCACCTTCAACCTCACTCACATGCCACCTCAGTGAGGCTGTGGACGAAACCCTTGGAAACGGTAGCCTCATCGCCCCCATGGCACTCCCTGCCCCACTCTGCTCGTCTCTCTCCCTGGCACTGGTCACCTGGCTGGCAACTGAGCTTTTCACTGTCTCCTTGTAGACTGTGAGCTCACAGCTGTTCTCCCAACAGCCCAAGACAGGCACGCAGGAGGAGGAGGAGGCCTTTGGGGCGATGGGAGTAACAGGGAGGGGCGCGAGCACTCTGGCTGGGGAAGCGGAGACTGCGGGCCTGGTAGGTACTCAAGCTGAGCTGCCACAACAGGAACAGGCTGTTCAGTCTGGAGTTCAACGGGCGGCCAGGGCTGAAGACACGCGTGCTTAGTTTCCTGGGAGGTACACGAGAAAGCCTCAGACCATTTAAATCTGAACACTGAGCTCCTGCACCTCTTTATCGAAGAACTAAGACGTGTACAAAGCTTTAAGGGAAAGGGCAAGAGATGTCCACCTCCCAGGTAGCCAAGATTTTTCCATTTTCAGACAAAAATGTTAAAGCTGTGCTTATAGAAACGCCCGTGCAGTAACAGCACGTACACCAGAATCGCATGGGAAGCAGCTGCTCTCCACAGACCTGCAGTCTGCTCGCTCCGCTCAGACCCAGGCAGCACCCGCTCCCTGCTGCGGGCTCAGGATTCTCCGGTCTGCTTCTCGCACGTTAGAGACACGTGGCATTTACCTTTTGATCTGTTTTTATTGATTTTGGGAGGAAGAGAGGGAGAGGGAGAGGGAAAGGGAGAGGGATCCTGCACACCCCACACTGGGGATCGAGCCTGCAACCCGGGCCTGTGCCCTGACCGGGAATCGAATCCTGACCTCCTGGTTCATAGGTCGATGCTCAACCACTGAGCCACACTGGCGGGCTTAATGCTCGTCTGCTCCCCGGGACCACTCTGAGGTAGACGGCTGCCCTGCACACACCGAAAGCTGGCTGACCAGAGCGTTCAGCCCACCAGGCTTTTCAGGGAGTTTTTTGCTGGAAGAAGAAAGGCACTCGTTCTGACAGGGTCAGGGGGAGAATGCTGCCACAAGAGTCCGGGGGCTGGACCCGAACCCACCGTGGCCACTCTCTGCCCCTGTGAGCCCAGCAGGGCCTCTGACCCCGTCAATAGTCAGAGTCCCAAGTGGAGACCTCCTCCTCCTCCTCCTCGTTTCCTGCGCAGAAAAAGCACCTCTGAGGGTGACCTTCAGCCCCTGGAGTGTGGTCCGTGTCAAGGCCTGACCCCTAACCACGCGGCCGCTGGGCAGCGTGAGGATGTCTGAGAAACGCCATGTCTGAGGGTGACCTTCAGCCCCTGGAGTGTGGTCCGTGTCAAGGCCTGACCCCTAACCACGCGGCCGCTGGGCAGCGTGAGGATGTCTGAGAAACGCCATGTCTGAGGGTGACCTTCAGCCCCTGGAGTGTGGTCCGTGTCAAGGCCTGACCCCTAACCACGCGGCCGCTGGGCAGCGTGAGGATGTCTGAGAAACGCCATGTCTGAGGGTGACCTTCAGCCCCTGGAGTGTGGTCCGTGTCAAGGCCTGACCCCTAACCACGTGGCCGCTGGGCAGCGTGAGGGTGCCTGAGAAACGCCACGTTGCTTTTCTGCTTTGTCCACAGAAGCCATCAGGCCCAGAGCTTCCAAGCAGGGGTCCAAGATGCTGGCCCGGGTCACATCGGTTCTGTCCAAGGTGTTTTCTCGCACCAGCAGCAGCGCGTCCAAAGCTGCGTCGTCCCCGCCCCAGGCTGAGCGCTGAGACTTCTATACCCGCGACTTCTAGACTCACCTCCCGTTGAAAATAAAGTGATTTTTGCAGCAAAGCCCCGTGTGAGCGGAGATGCTTTGTAGAGCATGGAGCCAAGGTGAAGGGCAAGAGAAAGGAAGCGGGCGTGGGTGAGAGAGGGTCGGGAGCTCCTCTGAGGGCCCCTTGGTCCCAGGAGGGGCTGGCGCCACGATCACCTGGAGCCTCGAGAGGAGACCCAACGTGGCCCGAGGGCACCCTCAGCCCCGGGCACAACAGCACGTGAACCTGAAGATTTCCTGTTAAATGTTTAGAGGTATTTGTATCAAAAAGGTTAACAAACTGAGGTGAAACTGGAGCGGAGTCTACGACGCCGCTATAAAACTGACTGTTCACTGTTAACGTGGATGTGGATGTGCATGTGCAGATCAGAGTATTTACATCATAGAGAAGAAACCGGCTTTCCACCTGAAGATAAAACTTCGTCCTTTCATACTAGTGATATACCTCCTAGGCAACAAGACCCAAGTGTGGCTAACGCACCACAGAGAAGTAAGCAATCACTTTGTATAAAATGCTAGAGATGCATAAAATGACGCCTGGGACTGACAAATACCCTTTTCAGACAATATCTTTGTGGATAAAATGCCATCAAAAAGTCATGGGTCAGTAAAGTTATTAAAACCTTATGTAAATATTTTAACATGAAAATAGATAGCAAGGCTCTATTTATAAAAATAATAAAAGTAAAGAGAAAATTTAACAAGATGGAGAGCTAATACAGTGATAAAAAGAGCCCTGGCCGGTGTGGCTCAGTGGACAGAGCATCAGCCTACGGACTGAAGGGTCCCGGGTTTAATACTGGTCAAGGGCATGTACCTTGGTTGTCGGCTCCATCCCCAGCAGGGGGAAGAAATTTTCCAAAATCAGTTAACATGGTACTTGGTGATTTTAGCATGTTTGCCCCTAAAATCTAAGGATCTTGTTTAAAAGATCGAAAAAGGTGAACAAAACAGAAAAGAGAGTCCACCACATCACTGCCAGCCCAACGCCGACTCAGAAATTTTAAGGGATGTGGTATCTTCTTTGGGATCTAAAATGTTCTTGGTAGGAGCCAGTGCTAAAAATTGAAGCATCTGAGAAAATTCTGTTTTACCAAATTGCATTTTCTTTAACCAAATCAGTCAGTGAGAGGTTGGGACAGGACGCTCCAGAGAAAAAGATGTGACTATAGAGTAAAATGTTTACATTCCAATGAGAATGAAGTTATTCAATTAGTAATTTAGTCAATTCATAATAATCCCAAACATTAACATTTACTTCTAATCAGATAACCACCAATCCTCTTCTTAAAAACTAAATTATCTAAATCAACTGCTTAGTCATTCTTTTCTTCTTTGTTCGTTATTGTTGTTGTTAATCTTTACCGGAGGATATTTTTCCATTGATTTTTAGAGAGAGTGAGAGGGGAAGAGACAGAGGGAGAGAGAGACATTAATGTGAGAGAGACACATTGATTGGTTGCCTCCCACAGGAGCCTGGACCAGAGCCTGCAACCGAGGTACATGCCCTTGACTGGAATTGAACCCGGGACCTTTCAGTGCGCAGGCTGACACTCTATCCACAGAACCAAACCAGCTAGGGCCTGTTGAGTCACTTAATAAATATATTTTATCTTTCACTTTATGCCCAGAATTGTTCCATAAAATATAAATTTGGAAATATAAATTCAAAGGCCCTGCCTTTAGATCTTGTAAAATAATGTCTATAATTCAGAGTGCTGCGGGCACTCGCAGGGCAGGGGGAAGGACGGCCGTCAGCCTCGCTGGGCCCCTGGGTGAAACGTCACCAGCAGCAGACCTGCAAATGCACAGGATGTTTTCCATTAATAAATGGCGCAGCACACAGTCAGTCTACATGGGATTCGTGCAGAATTGCTGTGCCCTGTTTGTCACAAACTACATAGTAATGTTGGCGAGAGACGCAGTATTTTCACTTAACACGTGGTAATGGGAGGTTTTTTTAAAACTTTGGGGGAAATAATTGACCAACCAACTGTAGAACCAATACCAGCTGACTGTGTCTTTCCTGGGCCGGTGGCTCAGCTGGTTGGCGGCTGGTCCTGTACAGGAAAGGATGCAGGTTAGAGTCCCCGTCAGAGCACATGCCTGGGCTGTGGGTGCGCGGGACACATACAGAAGGCAACCGATCAATGTTGCTTCTCTCTCTCCCCCCCACCCCGCACCGCCCCTGCCTCTCCCTCATTTTTCTCTCTAAAATCAATGAAAACATATCCTCAGGTGAGGATTAAATAAAAATTAGTATGCCCTTTAAATATTTTGTTTGAATTCTTTGTTTCAGTGTTTTATTTATTCTGTATCTGGCCTTATTTTTTATAAATCCAGTTTACTTAAATCCTCTTTAAGCCTTATTCTTTTCCATTTTTGCTTTTAACTTAGTATTTGAAGACATTGTAACTTCAAATAAAAAATCAAAAAAGTAAAAAAAAAGTCCTAATTGCGGCATAGAAACTGAAGCTCTGAAACAAAAGTGAATTCCACCCTCGAATGACAGTGACTTCAGATGCGCCCATGTGACGGGTGCCCCCCACCTCCTCCCCGAGCCTTTAGTACCAAAGGGCTGCAGCCAGACCCCAGAGGTCAGACCCGTTTCCGGCGAGACGGGGAGACGGGGAGACGGGGGCAGAGGAAGCCCCCTCCCTCCTGCTGCTCCCCGAGGCCAGGCCTGGCCTCAGCTGCCATCACTGAGGTCCCCAGCCATGGAGGCACCGAGGTGGGTGGTGGTCACCTTCCCTCTCGATCACCTGGTGCTGCACAGCTTCGGCCACGGAACGGCGAGGACAACCCCCCTGCCAGCGCTGCCGGGGGATAGTCAGTCGTGAAAGGGACGCCCAGAGAAGCCGGCTGAGGGGTCCACCCCGCTCTCCCCTCCAGCCGCCGCCGGCTGCTTTCTGACCAGTCGCCTTGGAAACACTCCAGGAGTGTTGTCAGAGCTGAACCGGCTCCGTCTGAAGCGATGGAGCAGGACAGGGTGCGGTCAGCTCCAGGCGAACCCCCGGAGGACACACAGAGGTCCTGTGCGCTCATGCCGCCCCAGCCCCAAGGCGGGTGGCGTAGGGAGGACTCATGCCGCCCCAAGGCGGGGAGCGTAGGGAGGACTCATGCCGCCCCAAGCGGGTGGCGTAGGGAGGACTCATGCCGCCCCAAGGCGGGTGGCATCGGAGGTTCCTCGTTTGCTCCGGCAGAAGCGCGGAGCGCGGTGTTGCTGTGACTGCTGTTTCCCGGTTCCGTTACAAAATCCCCGCCTGGTAATTCAGCCGGGAGTCCACCGAGAGGGTCTGGACCCACAGGGCTGGGGAGTCCCCGCGCTGCCACTCTTGGGGAGGTGCTCATGGAGAAATTTTTTAAACTATTTGCGTTTTTTGTTTGTTTTTAATTTATCTTTATTGTTGAAAGAATTACAGATGTCCCTCTTTTCCCCCATGGACCCCTCCAGCCCACCCCCCCCCCAGGCCTC